CATCATTATCTTACTTATAATTTTATTAATTTTTTTCTTTTTCTTTCGCCCTTTCGGTACTCACTCTTAAGCGAGTTGTGTATCTGAACTTTTGTTCTGTTTTAAAATAAAATTATGCTTCTGAAGTATCAAATATGTGGCTGTCGCAGTTCTGTTTTAAACAGTTTTACTAAACAAGAGTCGAATGGTCATTTTTCCAGAGACAGCTGCTTCACAACTGTTTTCACACAGTTGCAACAAACATACGGTCAGCTTTTCTGCAGCAGTATCCTGAGGCAGCTGCAGGTTCTCAACTTTTCTGAAAAGATGAGAAGCTACATCTACTCCAAACCAATAATCAGATGAATCCAATGATATTAATAACATTCAGCTCAGCGGTTGTTAATTTAATTAATTATTTACAAAAATAATCTATAAATAAAGAAATTGAATCAAACCATCAGATAATGTTTAGAGATTGTGACTAAATATATCAAAATAATTCATCCCAAAATTTTATATCAATGTAACGGGAGAGGAAGTTAAGAGCAAAATACACATTATTCTAATGGCAGCTTAGAACCAACAAATATCAGCAATGGTTGATAATCTGCATTAGTGAACGTTGTGATCCAATTATTATCTCACAGTTGTTGCAGTTTGTATGATCTTTATAGCTCAATCAAAACTTTATAGCTATCTTCTTTAACTAGAGTGAAGAGTGAATTTCTATAATTTTAGATAAGTAGTGGATAATTGTGATTGGATAGTGTTTTTTTTCCTTTAACTCTCCCTTCTTTTATATATTTGCATGTTAAATATTCATGCAATACTATGATATTAACTTATTTATCTTGCACATGTATTTTCTAGCTTACTAAAATGCTTTTGTAAAATCATATATTTGTGTGTAAAAAATTAAAATATTGATATTAGATATATTAATACATAAGAACAAATATTCCTTGCGAAAAAGTATGTTATAATTGAATGATTGGAGGTCAATCCTTGATGGATATTGGCAGGTGAAGAATGTTAGCAATCATCACATCAAAACTCCCACTTTCAACCTAACTAGACTTTTTGTGGCCAGAATACTTGTGGAAATGAATTTTACTTTACCTGATGTTACTGAAGTCTGGTTGGGCACAACTCATGATGGATATTGGCAACAATTCGTCATGGAACATAGACCTTCTTACTGTTCTCACTGTAAGATGTTTGGGCATATCCTTGATAAATGCCACAAGCTCCATCCTAATTTGAAATTTAAAGATCAAGTGAATAAGGATGGGTCTAGCCTCACTGCTCTGGACATATCTGCTCCACCTGCAGAGAAAACTACCACAGGACAGATTTTGGTGTCTGATATAATTGCCCCTGTAGACCCCTCTGACAATATTGTTTCTGCGATTGATGTGATGTTGGATGACTCTGTTGGACAACCTACACCTTCAAACTCCATTGAAAACAATACTGAAGGTTCATTACCTACAAAGGATAGTGTTCGGACTGTTAATCAGAGCCTTGCAGCTCCCCATCTTTATGAAGTATTCGGTGTAGAGCCGACAACTCATACTTCACATACACTAGAATCTATTGTGGGTACAACCGTTGACAATCTTTCTAGTAGAGCTCTACCACTCATTCAAATTTGTAAAAATCTTCGGATAAGAAATGACGGGTTTACACTTCCAGGAGGAAGAAGAAGAATAGAGATCTACTTGAGCTCAAGAATCTAATGGATAATACTTTGGTTACTTCGGGTAATGGTACACACCTCACCAATTTGTTAGTTGGTTCTCTTCCGAGAACTAGAGCTAGAGGCAGAACTAAATTGGGTCGTCCCGATTGATCTTATATGTACCCTCTCTTTTTTAGATTTTTTTTGTGTGTGTTGTACCGTGTGGGTTGGGTGCCTACTTTTGGGTCCACTCGTACAATCTATATGTACTCTTTTTTCTTTAATATAATTTCCCTTGGTTTTTTTTTTTAAGTATATATATATATATATATATATATATAATTACATAGATATCCCTCAATTATTAGTATTTACAAATCTAATACCTAAAGTTCAATTTTTACTTAAGGGCTCCCTTATCTATATTGCATGAAAATGTATATTTTACTTTTAAAAGTTAAAATAATAATATTTTTCATGTGATATACAAGATTTGACTTGTATAAATGTAAAAAACTAAAGATTAGGGGTTAGATATATAAATAGATTATAATTTAGTGGACTATAAAATTAATAAATTTATTAAAAATAATTAAATTTATAGTATGATGAAAATCATATGTGAATGTTAATATTTAATAATTATCATAAACCTCATTATCCATTCAAGGATTAAGTTAATCAAAACAGCTAAAGATGATGGTGGGCACTTAGCTTTAGAAGTAACTTAGCAATGACACTTCAACCAACACTACTTGCACTTTCTTTACCCTACATCCTTTCCCCCTTAGAAATTCTACTATTTTTGGCTTCAACAATAGAGGTATTATGACAATATATTTTTTAGAATTTCTTATATGCCCTTATTTTTTATATATTTTCGGTGCATGAACTCAACCATACTTTATCTATAAAATCAAGATTTATTTGAACAAGGTTTAGGGTCCGTGAAATACTTGATCATGGAAGACACATCACTTTGAAACTTCTATGTGCACATGCCTTCTTACGCAAAATAGTATCACTGCCAAAATCACCATAAAAACGTGCATTTTAGTTGGCTAATGCTATAACTAATTAATGTATGTGCCATTGTCAAGAGCTTGCTTAATGCTTCCTTAATATACTTTAATAACATATATTTCACATTTATTATAATGATGCATCATTCAAGGAACCATTTTTTGGATTATATCTCAAATACAATGATAACATTTAATACAACATAGCATATGAACTCTTAAATAAACACAAAATTTCTTACCAACTCAATTGGATCTCTTAATCCAACTCTGAAATACATAAAAAAATTATTTTTTTTTGTTAGTAAATTTAAATGACTTTATACGTATCCAAAAATTTGCATGATAAGTCACATCCACATGTAAAGTGCTTTGATATCTTGTATTAGGACATGTTCTATTTATATTTAAATAGAAAAGTAAACATACTTAAAATATCCTAAATTATTAAGCAACATATCAACTTATTTTTCTATATTTGTATTATTAAGATCATATATAATAATAATTTTTAAGAGAGTACTTCAGGATACTCTGTTATATATGTGAAGGGTTTCTCACAACATTACCAAGTCTTTTTAATGATATATATCAATTTTATAGAACCTCTTAACATGTAATATTATTTCCTTCATTTTAAATTAGTATCAAATTCAATAAATTTACTTAAATTATAATTTCAATGTTTATGATCTTATAAGATCTATAAATACTTTCTTCAAGGTATTAGATATGCAAAGCTTTCTTTGTATTTTTCACATTACACTGAAAGTTTTTTTTGCATTGTAAATGGATGTAAATTATTTGGATCATATGTACTCTCAAAAAGTTTTCTCAGACTCTATGTACATTGAGAAAGATTTAAAATAAGCTGCTATATCAACAATCATTGCATTAGGGACACTTTCAAGAATCAACTCTTATTGGATTGTATTTATACGTGCATTCTCATATCATTAATTACTGCTTTTAACCCAATGTAGATGAAGAATTGAATTCAATTAGTAGTTTAGCTTCATATGATCGAGATAACATATACAATGGATATTTTGATAATGAAAACCCATAGAGATATCATCATCTTCTTCTTTGCTTTTAACCCAGTGTAGATGAAGAATTGAACTCAATTAGTAGTTTAGCTTCATATGATGGAGATAACATATACAATGGATATTTTGGTAATGAAAACCCATAGAGATATCATCATCTTCTTCTTCATTTTATGTCTTCAACACCACCTCTTTCATTTCTCATATTAATATGTAGTGTCAGAAGAATTGGCTTTGCATCATCCTCATTTGCTACCAATTCTTCTATGCATACATGCATACTTTTGTCTTTGCTATAGTGTGTAGTTAAATTCTTTTTTGGCACAATTGACATAAAAAAGTGAATTGAATTAAATAGATATGGATAGCCTATTAAGAAGCATGCAAAATTATATTCTATAACCATTTTTTCTCTAAGGAATTAATGTGGTGCATTTCGATCCACCAAAAGAATACATCACCTCCTATTTTAAGCTAAGTTATTATATGTCTTGATGGTTGTACTATATAAATTATATGAGTTATTAAATACTCACTTCAACCCTATACTATTAATATTATTCGAATATTTAATATATACATGTACACATTCAATTTTTTAAATAAAATAAATTATAGATTAATTTTGGGGAATTTACATGCATTCCATCCAATTCTTATATAACTACATATAAAAAACTTAAATTTTGTGTCTTTTTATATTTTTACCGCCCAAATCTTTTATATCACATCACAATTACCGCAATTTTAATTTTTAGAAACAGAACTATCATTTTTCATACATAAATAATGTAACATATATGATATATATGTTAAAAATTGAAGTATAAATGTTCAATATGTGTAAATACATAAGAATTTAGTCTTAAATGTGTAAATCTTCCTTTAAATTTTTTGGCTTTTCTTAAAAAAAATTAAATTTAAAAAATCAAAATATTATATTTAAAGTTTTGAATCATAAATGCCTAAAAATGCTTTCTTTTTTTGTGTGCATTTCTTAGAAGATTATATAGCGGCACTCATCTTCCACCTCTGTACGGCATTTCCATAAAACAGCATAAAGCCGACGAATCGTGTTGTAATGGAGCTCGGTGGGTCATCCGAATTCCTCTTTCGTGCAAATGCCGGGTGAAGGTAAAGTTTCTTCCGCGTATGGAAGAATGCTCCTTCAACTCCTCCAAACCAACTGGGCGAGGAGCGAGGGGCGAGGACCCCATTAAAGCCTTTACATTCTTCAATGAAGGAAACCCCTGTTCCCTCTTTCCCACGGTGCACTTATTCCATGGATAATCGCAGAGCAATAAATCCAGGAGGAAGAACACAAGTGGCGGGATTCAGCTCTTTTGCATCGGATCTCTGTGAGTGTCACATCAATTCCTTGTATTTGATTATGTTTGACAGGAAAAATCTCATGTTTGGCTCGTTCTTGTGTCCTGATTGGTTTCGCATTTTAAAATGGTTTTTATATTGGAAGATATTTGCGTTCTGATCCGTTTTTGAAGTGTCGCCCAATTGATATGTTTGGATGATCGTTTTACTTGTTAAGATCTAAGAAAAGTCTCTGATCGTTTGTGAAAAGAGTTTTTTATTTGTATTGCGGAGGGTTTCACCTAAAATCTTTCTGGTAAAGGATTTGACAGGAGTTTATGATTATATTTTCCTTCAAAGTGGTTGGATTTTGATGCTCTGCAAATAGATTCAAGCTTGACTGATCTGTTGCGATGCTTAATCTGAATTTTTCTCAGTTTTTTACTTTGTTAAGTAATCTTGCTGGGTATTATCATATTATCATATTTCAACTAATGTTTTATTTCCTCTTTATTCTTCAAACTTGGAATGCTTGTTTTCTTTCTCTAACAGTCCGTTTATGAGTTGCTTATGAATACATTTTTTGAAATTTTCATTCAATTGACAGAAGCAAAAGCTCACAGAACAGAAGATATGGAGGTGAAGGTGAAAGAAGTTGTAGTATATGTCAGAAAATATCTCTTGTTTTCCCTCAAATCTGCTTACAAATTTACTTACAGACATCCATTTGTTGCAAGCTTTTCCTTTTCCTTGTTCCTCCTGTACAGTTGTTATCCTTCTCTATTTGCTTTCCTTGTTTCTTTCTTTCCTGTTCTTTTTTGCACTGCGCTCCTCCTCGGAATTCTCCTAAGTTATGGTGAACCAAATCTACCTGAGATAGAAGAAGATGACAATATCAATATGAATATTTCCTCCCTGAAAGTACAAAACTCTTCTGATGACTTCTTTGCCAAGAAAGATGAGAGCTTTACATTAGGGGACTTTGTTGATAATAGAGTTGGAACTGAGGAAAGGATTTCCAAAGATTCAGCTCATTATGTTGACGAAGAAAGAGGAATTGATTTCTTGGCCTCGGTCGAGGAACAGAATAAAATTATGGAGAATTTGGAATTTTTTATGAAAGAGCAATCGAAATCTAACCGGAGAACAAGTGAAGTTGCTGATAGTGTTTGTGAAGGAGTTGAAGGTCTTATGGTGAAGATCAAAAGGCCTCCATTGGATGACTGGCTTGATTCTTCTCTAGGCTCGCCTTGGCAACCTATTACTATACGTGATGCTAGCTCAGACTCTGAATCTGATCAGGCAGAGAGTTCATCTCCTGATGCTTCAATGACTGACATCCTTCCAATGCTTGATGAGCTTTCCCCACTTTTAGATTCAGAAACTCTTCATAATGATCCAAAATGTGCAGATAATTCTGATTCGGAGCTCTCCCTGCATCAAGAATCCGATGATGAAAGTGTGGAGAAGGAAGATGAATGCAAATCTGAAGGCAAGGATGAAGGCAACACGGTTGTTACATGGACTGCAGATGACCAGAAAAATGTTATGGATCTCGGTTCTTCTGATTTGGAAAGGAATCGAAGATTGGAGAGTTTGATTGCAAGGAGAAGAGCAAGGAAGAATCAAATTATAATATATGAGAAGGATTTGATTGACTTGCCCGGTAATGAAACTAAAATGGATGGATTATCCCTCTTCCATCGTCAGATTCCTCCTATTTTTGCTCCAAGGGGAAATCCTTTTGATCTTCTCCACGACTTGGATGAATCTGAAGTAATGCCACCTATTCCTGGTTCAGCTCCTTCGGTTCTGCTGCGCCGGCAAAATCCTTTTGATTTTCCATGTGGCAGTGAAGATATTAATAATGGCCTTGCAGGTGAGACTTCGTGCCAACCGGAGTTTGAATTGCCTTCCCAAAAGGGTTACCTTTTTAGAAGACATGAGAGCTTTGTTTCTCGTTCAGTATTTCCTCCTAGTAATCTTATACATGAGAAGTTTGGTTCTTCTAGATTGAATCCCTATGTTGCTGCAGAGAAGATGGATTCAGAAGGTAACGACCATATTGATTTCCATAATCAGCAAAGTGAAGAAACTGACACAAAGTCAAGTTTTGTTGATGCTTCAGACACGGTTTCTTCAGCAGTTGATGGGGAAGATCGGAAGGTTCCTACTGAACAAGAAACCCTGCTTCCACCTCATCATAGTAACCCTACTGTACAATATAGCCGGTTCTGTGGTGATGATTTAGTTGACTCTCAATCTGAGTTGGGTGGCGATGGTCATTCTGTTGATCCAAATGCTTCTGCAGGTATTGATGTTTCAGATATTGTTAAAAAAACCACTGAAGAAATACAATTTGTCCAGAATCATGAAGTAGTTGATGAGAAGCATGATGATTTGAACTTATTTTCTTCATTAGAAAGTACTGAGAAGAGACTTGTTGAAGTAGTAGAAACTCAGGAGCAGATTAACAGTGTTTCAAAGGGATCCATTGAGTTCTTGCAATCTTCTGATTTTTCTTCCAGTCACCTAATTTGTGAAACTGTGGGAGTTGATAATAATCAAGCTTCTGTACCCATCTATGATTCTAGTCCCTCAGGAAGCGGAAATTTTCTTGCCAGCATTTCTGTGTCAGATGAAATACTGGTTTCTACAGGTAAATCTCAATTCTCAATCTAATCTGATTCTCTCATATTACATGAAGTGAATGCAGGAGAGTTGTAGACAATGATGGAGCTTTGTTATATGCAGGTGGAGGAAATCTTCATTCTGTTTCTACGGTGGAGTCCCTTGTGCAAGAAGATGCTGCAAATGCATTTGAAGAAAGCATGGCTTTTGAAGTGATTGAATCCATGGTCTTTGAAGGAAGTGCAAAACAAAACTCAACATCTAACAATGGAGAAACTGTGGAATTTTCCACATATATGAATCTTTTGGATGAAAATATATCTGTATCAAAGGAAATTGATGAAGATTTTGCCGATCAAGCTGCATTGTTAAGGAGAGTTCCTTTCTCTAGTCCATCTTCAGTGGATGCTGCTAATGAGCCCAGACTTGCATTTTTTGGTTGTTCTCCTCCAATAGAAGGAGAGGAGAAGCTTCAATCAATGGATTTTGATAAGAAAACTTCTTTTGGAACTCACCTTGAGGAATTCCGGGTAAATAATTCAGAATTAGAGCCCATTCTTGAGGAGAATTCAGAAGATTTCAAATTTGAAGAAGAGCGTATGAGCTTGTTTCAGACCAATACAACATTGGCTTGTAGTGGATTGCAGAAACCTGATAGATCTGATGTTGATCTATCAAATGTTGGCCAAGAAGTTGTCTCTTTGCATTATCAATCGAAAGAAGCAGCTCAAGCTGAAGGCAATGAAGGTAAACCTTCCAAGAATCCCAGTCATGTTTCAGCTGATGATGATCTGTTCACTGGATTGGTCATGGGGGAATGTGTTGACAGCATGGATTTCTCAAATCAATTTAAGATGAAATCTGAGGCCGATTGTACATATAATGATGATAATAGTGATTCCCAAGACATCATTATGAGTGAATTACGGATCAATCAGAATGCCACCTCGAGGATTCTTAATGATTTTCGTTCAGAACACGGGGATTTGAATGTTGAATTTAAAGACTTACAAATCTTTGATGAGCATTTACTCACAGAGTTGGATGCAGTTGGTGACTTTAGGGTTGAAGAACTGAAATCTCAGGAATTTCTTAACGAGGAGTCACAGTCAGATAGCTGGTTTGTTTGCAGTGAAAAAGATTCTGAATTAAGATCTGCCAATGTTGTTGAAATGTCTGAAAACAAACCTATCTCTGCTAATTTGACCAGCCCAGATGAGATGGATTTAGTCTTGTTAAACCAAGAAGAACTAACAGATTCGGGATATTGGTCCTCAGCAATGGCACCTGTTGAAGAATTGACAGTCTACAATCCTAAGCTTAATGTTCTTAAATCCTATTCTCCTGAAGAACTTGATTCCATTTTCCAACAAGAACTCTCTAAAGAATCAGTAGTGGCTCCTTTTTCTGAGACAATTACTGAAAAATTAGTAACAGAGAGTTCTGTTGGGTTGAGAAGTTTTGATATGGAGGACCAAGAAATAGAAGCAGTAATTCAAGAAGAAGTGCTTTTAACTCTCGCCAGGCAAAATGCTGGTGACTTGAGTTCAGCTTTGATAAAGGATGGAAGAGACTTTGATATTTCCATCTCTCCCCATCTTGATTTGCAGCTTAATGGTGACCAGTCATCCTTGGATGGCTGCAAATCTGACTTAACTTTGGTTGACGCATGTGGATTTGATTCTGCTGAGACACAATTTTCTGAAATTAAGGCCGATCATGTTGAATCTGTCATTTCTTCTACTTCCAGCTTGATCTTGTATCCCTCGGTGATTTCCGAGGCTGAAACTTCACCAGAATTTGAAATTAAGGCTGATATATCCAGCAGAGGCTTTGAGATAGAGAATACCGATTCACAGTTACTAGTTCTTGAAGCCAAATCTGTTGAAGATATTTACTCAGCTTTCAAAAATGTTAATGAAACTGTTGTCAACGAGTCTACCTCTCCTCTGCTCAATCCCGAGCCCATGGCGAACCATCCAGTTGATACTATTGTGGAATCTATATCTCCTGAGGCAGAGAAAACTTCAGGTTTACTGGTTCTTGAAGCAAAATCCGCTGAAAATATAAATTCAGCTTTCAAGCAGGCTGCTGAAGAGAGTCTCACGAAATTCTCCTTTAGGAATCACCCTAATTTTGAAGTCATGGAACCGAGTTCAACTGGTTCTGAGAATTCGTCTGAGCTGTTTGTTCTTGAAGAAAGGTCTGCTAAAGACATACAATTAGCTTTCCAGCTAGTTACTGAAGAGGTTTCTTCTATGCTTACTTCTTCTCTAATTGATTCGGAGCTTAGTAAGACTAATCAAGATCATGAGGTAGTGGAAGAATTACTGCTTCTTGAAGGAAAGTCTTCTGAGGATACTGATTCTGCTTTTGAACAAACTAATGTGGATCTTGATAAGCTGACTTCTCAAGCTTATCCCGCGTCATTGGTGAATCTGATTGACAGTGAGGTTGTAAATTTGAAGTCTTTGAAGTCTCCTGAGACTCAGATTGATCAAGAACTATTGGTTCTTGATGCAAAATTTGTTGAGGATATTGATTCTGGTTTCAAACCATCTTCTGAAGGAGGTCTTCTGAGATCCAAAGATGGATCTGCTGAAGAAACAAGCTCGACTTTGAAGCACGTTACTGAAGGATTGTTTGATAAGTTTTCTTCTTCAGACTATCCTGATGCTGCGGGAACTTCTGAGGTTCCCCATGTGATTTCTCATGGAGCAGAGAATGATTCCGACATTTTATCTCTTGAAACAAAATCTTCACAAAATCTGAGCTCAGTTTGTGAACATGAAATTGAAGCAGATCCTGTTCAGCAAAGTCTGCCTGAGTTTGAGAATTTTCAACCGGATCATGATGCTGTCATAGAGAGACCTCTCAACGCAGTTGATAGACTAGAATTGTTCTCTCTCGAATCAAAATCTTTCGATTCGGAAGGGGAGAGCTTTCTTGCTGCTGATAAGCATTTAGAGCTTAAAGTACTTGAAGAAAAATCTACTGGCAACATACAATCACCATTCTCAGTTGCCTATGCAGGAGTTCATGGGAGTTCCCCTTCTCTTCCAGTTGATATGGAGCCAAGGGAGATTCATCCAAGCCACGAAGTAGAGGATAATGTGTGTTCCGAGGCAGAGAAGAATTCAGAGATGTTAGTTATCGAAGCAAAAGCTCTGGAAGATGTACAGATTGAACAAAGTATAATAGTTCCTGAAGCAATATCTGTTGAGCTCACCGATCCATCTTCGAAGACAGTGAATCAAGAAGGTAGCAAAGGATCTACTTTTTTAACTGAACCTCTCTCACAGAAGACTAAGTCGGATGATGTTTCGGAGCAGTTAGTTCAAGAAGAAAAATCTGAGAAAGATGTTGATTCCACTTTTTCAGAAGTGGCTTTTAATGAAGCAATTACTGGGGAAAAAGGTTCCAGTGAGGATCAAATTAATAGAAGAACAGAGGGAGAGGAGGCAAGCTCTGAAGATCCTAGTTCTAGTGCTCCACTATCAGTGAAGATTGAGAAGAAGAAATTTGAAAAGTCTGATCCAAGTTCAAGCTCAAGCTCTAGCTCTAGCTCAAGTGAATCTTACTGATGGGAAAATCAAATATTTGATTCAAAATAGTTTGGGTTTGTTAATTATATTTGTAAGTTTTTGTTAATTAAATTTGTGTGTTTTCTTGCTTTTTTTTTGCTGGCTTGCAAATTTTGTGTGTTAGTGTTGGGGGTTTTTTTGGGTGTTTTTTTTTACATTTTTTGTGTGGCTCGAATCTCAATTTCTTATGTTTTGAAGATTGAGATATGTTTTATTGTGGGAATGATACAAGTGTATCTTTTTTCTTGTCACTCCTTACTCTTTAAATCTTTGTGAAAGTTTGAAATTTGTAATTATTCCGTTTGAAATTGTAACTCACTTTGTGATTGTAAGTTGTTAAAGCGTTTGAAATTGTGTTTCATTTGCTGCTTTCCTCTTGTTGCCTCTTCTTCTATAAAATATCTATGTCATCACCCTTTTATTACACTCTAAACTGATGTGGCATTGGATGTTTGTCATATGAACAAAAATTAATCACAAGTGCTCAATCTAAAAAGAATTACAGCTAATCAAGGAGTTCTAACAATCAAGAGTAAGATGAAGATCATTATAAAATTTATTTTTAGGTTATATTTTATGAATTTCATGTGAAAGTTTATGTTCTTTGATACGCCATCAACAAATTTCCGACATCCAACATGAATCTCAAGGCATGACAGATTTTGAGACAATTTTTTGAGCAAGAAATATTCAAACTTATAACCAAACTGGCCGTCTCGACGAGGCCAACCCAACGATATTAAAATTGATCCAATCTAAGTTAAACCAAGCTCAGATCAAGTCATTAAATCACTCTTGGAAGTTTTTTAGAAATATTTGAAAAGTCAGAGGGACACCAAATGTGGTGAGCTAGCTCAAGGTCAAATCGAGTGTCACAACAAGTCAAATTAAACAAACCAAGATCACCAATTTCGATATCGTTAAGGCTCCCAAATGTTCATCAAATGTCGTCTGATTGAGGGAACCTCTCCGGATAATTCGATCAGAGTGGTTCATATTTTTTCATTAATCACAACAGAGACTCTATAAATATAGCCCCACCCCTCATGAGAGAGGGAGTTGACGTCTGAGGAAGAGCTTGAAACTTTGAGAAGGAGCCGAAGTGCAGCATCTCTCTTGCCACCATCTACCGCCGTCGACCCCCACTTGTCGGCCATCAGTCACAATCAATCGCCGCTCATTTCTTATGACAAGTTTCTCCGTGTATTGACATTGTAACTCGGGAGACTTGTAACCATTTCTCGCCTATGGGACAAGGGTTGTACTTGTAGCCTTCAGTTTATAGTAAATATATTCAACTGAGCCAAATCTCATGGTTTTTTCCCTTTACGAGTTTTCCACGCAAAAAAAATTGGTGTTACTACTGGTTGTTTTATTCTTCTGAGTGTGTGCTAGATTTTCGTGCAACATTAAGATGATAATTTATTACTCTATCGCAAGAATCTTCTAGCACACATCAATTTGACATCAGTTCGACATTGTCTTCAACTCTGAGACGCTGAGCCCCAACATCATTTTCTAATGATGTACATCATCTAACTTATGAAGAAACCTCCTTTTGCATCTTAAAGAACATCTCTGGAGCATCTTTCGATGTGGAAGAGAAACCTTCACTGGAGTCTCAAAAGGTCATTCCGTTCACGTCAATGTCCCATGCACGATTGTAGTGTGGTTGTCTTCTCGCATCTATTCAAACTCAAAGTTTTTCACAACTTCTTCCGGGCTGGGGGCAACCTTCACCGTGGTCTTGAAAGGCCATTCACGTTAACGTGCTAGGCACAATTGTGATAGAGTATTCATCCCACATTTCATTCAGACAACAAGACATTGAAAATCACTCCTAGTTTAGGGGCAATCTTCATCGTAAATATTACTTCATCAGCATCCTTTCACCGTAATGAACTTTCTCTTCAACCAGATCATTACGATCACTTTAAGGCTCGATACATGGGTTGCTTAACAAGTTCATGTGGAAAACGCTTCTCGTTGGGGGACAAAAGATTCAAAAGCACCAACTAACAAGTTGTCAAATAATATTCTTGAGTATGATTGTAACTATTTTTCTAAGAAAACATATGGTCCATTGCGACCTACGCCCTAGTCTCGAAAAACGTAGAGCATCTATGACACCTCATTCTGGGCTTAATCGATCATAGAGGGACTCGATTCAACTTCTTCCAACGCAGGCTACAATCGTCAAGCAATAGCTTCGATTAACAACATCAGATAGGTCAAAAATTCTTGGTGGATTTCTTTCTTTCGACCTCTTCCATAACATATTATGGTCATAAAACAGAAGCTTCGACTAACAACCTTAGATAAGTCAACCATTTTCAGCAAATTTCATAAAACTTTTTTTACTCCAGGTTAACGTCGTCTAAAGTCTTCAGCTAAACAATTTAAGACGAGTCTTACATCTTTAATGAATTCTCTTTTCAAATATGTTCCAACATATGCTACAACGTCAAATAAACATGCTTTGACTAATGACCTGGGAAAATTTGAAGATTCGCAGTGGTAAACAAGGTTCCTAACCATGCCCTCGAACTCGAGCCCAAGAGATAAGACTCGATAGGAAGATACGATACTCCGGTAAGTCAAGCCCAAGAGGTAAGTCTCGATGGGAAGCTACCACACCCTTCAAATTTGAACCAAAGAGGTAAGGCTCAATAGAAAAATACGATACTCATGGAAATCGAGTCGAGGAGGGAAGACTCAATAGAAAGCCACCATGCCCCTAGAAGGCAAACCCACCCAAGAGACAAGTCTCGATGGGAAACTAGTAGTGGAGAGGGTCCTCTCTAGAAAAACTTCACGAGAGCAAATGGTGGAAAAGTTCTCCACTCAATGACCTTAGAAGACACAGATACATCAAAAACCTCAGAATCCTACAGGCCTTAGAAGACATAGGTACATCAAAGACCTAAAAAAGCTACAAGCCTCTGGAGACACATATACATCAAAAATCTCAGAAAGCTACAAGCCTCATGAAGCACAGGTACATCAAAGACCTTAAAAGTTTACAAGCCTCAGGAGGCACATGCACGCCAAAGACCTTAGAAGGCTATAAGCCTCAAAGGGTTGATATGCACTTAGGGGTGTAAACGAGTCGAACACGAGCGAGCCATGCTCAGCTCGTGTTTAGGGTTCGTGTTAGGCTCGTTTATATTTCGAGCTCAAAAAGTGTGTTTGTGTTCGGCTTGTTTGCTTAACGAGTCGATCATGAGCTGTTCACGAACAAAGAGTCCTTTTAACAACCCTAATCATATAACCATAAGACAATAAGAATTTGAGCAAAATTTAAAAATTATTATTTATATTAAAACATCATTTGAATCTAATTTAATAATTTTTATTCTATTTTCTTAATCAATATTTTAATTGATTATAAATCTTTGTAGCCTTCTAGTCAATTAGATTTTTTTAAAATACTACTTATATATATATATATATATATAAAAACTTGATGAGTAGCATTTCGAGCCAAAACGAACAAACACATCTTATTTTGTGTTCGGCTTGTTAACTTATCAAACGCAATTAACGAGCCGAACATGAGCTTCTTAACGAGTCGAACACGAGTTGTTCGCGAACAACGAGCCGTTTTGACAGCCCTATATGCACCAGGTGCTGCAAACCACGAGCGGCTCATACAAGTGTACGCGACATATTAGTATTGGGATTAGAGTTTGGTTGTTGATTCCTTTAAGAACGAGATGAACTCAACTAGGAAAAGTTATAGCTTACAATTGTTAGTCCTAGCCTGAAAGGTTGAATAGTCCAAGGCAACGTCGCTCTGTAATCAAATTGCACGAATTCAAAGAAGATGTTTTTGCTCCAATGCCTTCGTGTAGATAACTTAATTGTTCCTTATAGATTACTCCCAAAAATCTATAGTTGCAATTAATTTTAAAAAATTAACTGGCCAAGTTAAAAGTCAACAAGCTCCTAAGCTATTTCAAAACTATTTAAAAACTCACAAAAGAAGCACCTCAAATTGCCACACCTTTACGCCTACACTTCCACAACAAAGGAGAACATAAAACCTACTCACTAAGCATGCAAACTTTCATCAACATTGTATTAAAAGTATAAATCATACACAATAGTCTCACAATTGTCTCTTAAAGAAAAAAGTAAAAAACTCAATATACTTATCTCTTTAAGATCTAGAAAATGTAAAAAAATTACAAGCACGCTCACAATCCCACAATCTCACAATCTCTCTAAGATATTTCTTTTAAACTCCTAATTGCTCTTCTACTATCTTCTCCCTCCAAGTTCTTCCTTTTAAATGACAAAAAAATAAGAAAAATCTTCTAAACAATTATCTTCCCACTTTTTATATTTCCTCCATTGAACTCAACTTTTGAACTGCTCAAATCTGTCATTGTTCAATTATGGCGCTTAGGCGCCCTGTGGTTCGCGCCTAGGCACCAGTCACTTTAATATTTTGATTGGAGAACTGACCTCATGGTGCCACTATCATGGCGCCTAGGTGTCAATGTGTAGCGCCTAGGCACTGCATAAGCAAAGCCTACTTTTTGTGTTCTTGAGAAATTGAACAATACTTGTCCTGTTTGGGCGCCTGAGCATCGTTGAACTGACGTCACCTTTCCAGACTCTATGTGAATCCGTTGTCTTTGAATAAGGACTTGTGCCTAGGCGCTAGAACACACTTTTCTAATCAATTAGAATGATTGTGGATGCTGCCTAGGGTGGTTTTCCATGGTTTGATAAATCAGGTTAGGTTGAAATCAGATGAGGTATAGGTTGAGTCTTGAGTTTGAGCTTAAGTTAGTTTAGATTCATTTAGTTTTAAATTCAAGTGTTTTTAAATTATTTTATTAATGTTTGAATTAAGCTTTTATTTTGTTAATGTTATGCTTGCTTAGCTTTTGGTTTAGGTTGGTTTAAGTTTAGAATTGTTTAAGCCAACATGAATTTGTGTTTAAAGTTGAGTTTAATGTGCACTGATTATTAGATGACTTTATGTGTGAGTTCGATTAGTTTAAGTTTGTTTAGTGATAGCCTTATGTTTAGGTTTAGTTTATGTTTTTAGATTATTTTAGATCAAGGTTTAGCTTTTGTCATTGTATTGTGTTTTGGTTTAGTTTAATTTAGTTTGGATTTTATGTTTAGTTTGATTTCATTGCATAAACTTAGATTAAGTTTGACTTCAAGTAGTGTAAAATTTGGGTTACGTGTTATATTTTAATTTTACTTATTTTTGTTAAACAATTTATTTAAGTTGATTTGGAGCATGATTTAAGTAGGAATT